TCACTTCATACCATGCGCCAAGAAAAACGATGCCACACAAACCGCTGATCTCTTCTTCAAAGAAGTGGTGCGTTTACATGGAGTTCCCCGTACCATTGTCTCTGATAGAGATACAAAGTTTCTCAGCCATTTCTGGAAGACGTTATGGAGAAAGATGGGCACCAAGCTACTCTTTTCAACCACTTGTCATCCCCAAACAGATGGCCAAACAGAGGCGGTAAACCGTACACTCTCTACCTTACTTAGAGCTACACTTGGCAAGAATATGAAAACTTGGCTAGATTGCATTCCTTTTATAGAATTTGCTTATAACCATGCTACTCACTCTGCTTCTAAGTTGTCACCTTTCGAGGTTGTGTATGGCAATAACCCTTTGACGCCTATGGACCTTACACCGCTTCCACAAGCTGAACAAGTCAGTTTAGAAGGTCTTAGCCGAGGTGAATATGTCAAGAAGATACATCAACGAGCTCGGGATAACATTGCTAAAAAGACCGAGGAGTATAAGAGGAACAAGGATAAAGGGAGGAAGGAGATGGTGTTTCAGCCCGGAGAGTGGGTTTGGCTTCATATGAGGCCGGAGCGTTTCCCCCACAAGCGTAGTTCCAAGCTAGCACCAAGAGGCGACGGCCCCTTCCAGATCAAAGAAAAGCTCAACGACAACGCCTACACGCTCGAATTGCCAGGTGAGTTTAACATGTCCCATCGTTTCAATGTTGCTGATCTATCTCCTTTTGATGTAGGAGAAACGGTTTTGAGGACAAAACCTTGTCAAGAGGGAGGGAATGGTGCAAGCACCGTACCAGGCGAGGACCAACTTGACGTACCTATGCTGAGGGAAGGTCCCATGACTCGTTCAAAGGAGAAAGCCCTACGAGACAAGTTTAACTTCGCCGTGGAGAGGATCATGCATTCACGTACTGCGGATGAGGACATCACGAGGAAGGATGAGGGCATTACAAGCTGGTACGATGACATTATGGGACGGGACGACAGCGTGACAAACAGTCTCCGTACCGTGGTCGAAGGCGGTACCACGCGGGGCGACGCCCTGGTCGAAGGCGGTACCATGCGGGACGATAGCATTACGGGAAGACTGACCGGCCAAGGCAACGATTCAATGGGCCAGTACTTAGGCGATTATCAAGACTTCCAAGACCCACCTAGGCTCAAGATGGACCCAAGCCCCAATGAATGGCCCCTCCTCAAGCACATGACCGGCCCAAACTTGTTCATCATTGATCCACTCCAAAACGGCGGCACCTAGGCGATTGATGATCAAGAAAGACTTACCATTTCCACACCAAGGAATCAAGAGGCAACGGTAAGCTCATTCAAATAAAGACAATATACTCTTGTTTCCCTTTCTTTTGCAGGTAATAAACACTAGTTTTTTTTGTTACTTTTCCCATTTAAGCCGATGTAATCTTTAGTTTATTTTCTTGTATTTTTGGTTTTTATTTTGTTTATTTTTAGACCCTAGAAGGTCAAAGTCGAAGAGCTATTAATAAAGCTCTCCTGCGACATTGTAGTTCACAACTTTTTACCCTCATATCAATAAAATCGGCAGTTCTTCTTCAAGTTAAAGTCTTGAATCTTTGCTTGTTCCTTTGCGTGTGTGATTCACCAAAGTCACAAGTGTTTGCTTTATCAGAGATCCTTCCATACTCTCTGTGGTGCCAACGATCCCCCAACACTCGTCATTCATTGAATCAACGTGAGAGATTCTAAGGCCAGCACGTTCATTCCCATCACTTAAGATTTGGACATCCGAGTCTTATACCACTACCTCTAACTCCCGGATATGAAGAAAAGGGTCTCAGATACCCGAATTTAAAACTATAGTTTGTTGTTGAGGGTTTCCTTGATATGCCTTTCACCAAAAAAGCGTTTGATAGTGTTGGGCTAGGGACAACAATTATCAAGTTGGGCCAGGCCCACAATGAAGAGCAATTCCCCGTTGAAGAAGCACTTGCAGCCGGTGGAGGGATATGGGTGGAGAGCGGAGCGGGTAAGACACCTTCCGAGTAGCCCATCGAACCGGTAGGAGGAGGATTGTCGTCGGAGAAAATCGAGATGAACACAATGCAGACGGCTACCTCTGACTCCATGTCTGGGAGTATTGGAGCTAAGGCGAGCTTTGGGTTGAGACTGAGAGGGAAGGTGGTGAAAACGGGAGCCACTGAAGCGGTGGTGATGGACGGAAGGAAGGAGTCGGCGAGCCTTGCCGCATCAGAGGTGCAGTACGGCGGATCTGGGCGAGGGAGAGCAGTGACGCTAACTTTTGGAGCCTGCATATCCGGCGGATCCGTTGGCTCCGGAGGAACGGAAGGATTCGGCTGCGGCAAAAAGAAGATCAGCCGGAGGTGAGAAAGAGATAGCACTCGTTCTGGTGGCTTCGGCGGAGTGGAGAGGCGGGGCAGGGGCTCAGTCCTCAAAAGCACCACTGATCCCATCAATTCAAAAGCCGCCGGAGGTAGAGAAGAGGACGTATAGCACATCACCGGATAGCAGCTTCAAGAGGCGGAGAACGAGACGCAGGAGCAGGAGCAGAGGCGCTTCATTTGGAAAATCAGAGCAGTGACGGGAGCGGAGCTTCCTTTTCGGGCGTCAGGCCTGGGAGAAAAGTTAAAAACTAGGGCGAACTTTCAATGATTGTATAACTGATTCTAGAAAATCAAAGCTTCAATACCCGACAAGACAAAAACCAGAGATCTTTCGAGAACGGCGAAGTCGAACAGCGTAATTTACATTCTAAATGGCAAATTTATTTCTTGTTTTCATAATTGTAGAAGATATTTTTCTGTCAAATTTTGGAAACAAATAATTTTGTATTTGAAAAATAAAATATTTTTTGTCCAAACATAATTTAAATAAACAAAACTCTCTACAATCTTGAAAAGGAACGAATAAGATGAGTTTATTTATTTGTATTCAAACCCTATTTATTTGTTTTTGTCAAATATTTAATCGTATAGAGAGGCCAAGATCCGATCTAGATCATAAATATTTACTTTAACAAAAAAATCATAAGTATTTTAGGTAGAATCCAAGATCAGCTCAAAATAAAACAACTATACCAAGCAAGATTTTAAATCAAAATACCCATCTTCTCCTATGTTATAGATTTACCGTGTCCTAGACATGGAATAAAATAAAAATAAGTGTGTTTGTTGGAAAAAAAAAAAAAAATCGTTGATAACATTTACATATACTCAAAATTTAGGTGAATAAAAAAATAACAATAACAATCAAATTGTGTTCCGTTCTTTTTGCCTTTTAAATCGCTATTATGGCCCTATAAATAGTATACATCCAATGTCATATATGGAAGACAAATCAATCTACCAGAATTTTATTTTTGAAACAAAATTCGTAATCAATAGTAGTAATTTCTTAATAGATAAAAAGAAAAAATCGTGTAAGCCAAAATGGAAAAAGTGAAATTCTTTGCAATAATATTTATGGTGACAATGGTTATGACAAGGGTTTTGGCGGAAGAACCAACGGTGAAACTGACAGCCAATGAGGTGACTCTTGCGGCGGAGGCTGCCGTCTCGAGTTTTAAAAGCAGCGCCGGAGAGGCTGCTCAAGGGGCCAAGTCATGGGCCGATTGGGCTACTAGCATGTAGGTTTTTTTTTCCCCTTATTTCCTTCATTGTATTGTTAACGTTAAAAAAAATTTCGAACAAAAAACGTTAAATATATTGAGGAAAGACAAATGTCAATTGTCAGATTAATTTGGATTATTTTTTGAAACTGTTGTTAAAAATACTGTAATCCACCTAACTTAGTTTTATTTTCATTTTTCAATTTTGATCTATTTGAATGCATATTTAATTTATGCAAAATTTATTTTATTTTTTTCTCATTTAATTTGAGTTTTGAACTTTGTAGGAGTTTAATTTACAAAAATATAGTATTAAAGTTCTTTTTCAGCATATATTGAGGCTCTAATATATCAAATATTAACTTTTTCTTGTTTATGAAAAATAATAGTACTATGTAGTTTATTGTATTACCTTTCAGTTTTGATAAAAATATATAAGGTTAACTGATAATCTGACGAATGGTGCATATAAAAAGACTTGATCAAATAGAAAAAGGAAATTGAATAGAGTATTTGGAGCTTAATCATAAGACATTTAAAAATATGTGTTTTATAGATTATGTATGTTTTGTTTTTTCTAACTATATTTTGTAATACATTAATAATTATAAAAAAGTACTTAAAAGATTAAACTTTAAAGTAATTTGAAATTTTGATATAAAAGTAAAATAATTACAATTTATGAAATTACCGAATTAAAATATTTTTAGTACTTACAGTATATGAATTTAAAATTGTCATACTCAAAAATCTTAGAACCGAGCGATTACAACCCAAAACCGATTTATTAGAACCTGAAATCGATTTAAATATCAGACTATCCAAACCTATCTGTTATAATATCACTACAACTTTTCTGATATCTTGTGTAATAACATCTAACCATTTTTACTATATGGTTTTTGAAGGAATACTGGAAGAAATTTTGAGAAAACACCCGCTTCAGAGTGAATGTTACCAAAATCTTTAGTAAACATTTATGTAAAGAATAAGGCATCAATGTTTATCAAAAAAATGTATGTAAATTTGAAACGAATCAATTCAATTGCATTCACTTTGTACCATATTAAAACTCTTATTGTATAAGATTTTTTTTCCCAATGATGGTAACATGTAATTTGAAGGCACTAAAATGCAATCCATTAACACTCATGGAGATCTCTGCCTTGGCTCAGAAGACATTGTTTATTGCAAAAAAAAAACAAAGAGACCAAACCTATCTCTTTTAACTGAACAATGTGTCCAAAGTTTCTTCATCTAGATGCCAAGAACTTGTACATATTATAATGAAGTACCCATAAAGAACACGGAGACAAATGAAAAGATCATCAACAAGCATCAACGGAATCTATCCTCAGTCTATGGATATACAAAGATCCATTTGCTATTATCACTTTCTTCCGCGTGTTAGCCTCTGCAAATGGTAGTTGATGTTTCCCCAAGACTTTGACTTCTCCGCCTGCAAAGCAAGAGTTTCAAGAAAACAACACGTAAAGCCGTTTAGAGAGAAATCAAAAAGTAGAAAAAAATTGGTGAAAAATGTAAAGTTAACTGTAACCTGTCCCGTCATACAAACGCTCAAGAGTTGCTTCTGTTTCTCGCATTTATCGTCTTTGCATTGATGAAAAGCCATACAGTTCAAGAACGCTACCATTTCCTGCATACATGGTTTCGCTATACCACCAAGCTTTTTCGGGTTTATGTACAAATTTCCAGCTTTTCTTCCCATTTGCCCCTCAAACAAAAATCAACTAAAAAAACAAAAGCCAAAAAATAAGAATCAATTTGATTGCAGGACCAAATAATAAGCTCATATATCACATTTTTCTTTAATTTGGCATTTAACAAAGATATCCAACAAAGAGAAAGATAATTTTTTTTTTTTTGAGATTATCCATCAGAACACGGACAATTACACAAACATTTCTATAACATTGTGAGGATTGTATAATGTATCTACAACAATCCAAAGTAACTGGCTAATCAAATTCACAATTTCCAGCCTATGGGCATAAAGAAAAAATTAACATTTCGAGAATAAACAAATTAAGAACACACCTAAAGACCCAACCTCGGATTCGGAAAATAAAAACCAGTTTTAAAGCAGAATCCAACATACAGATGGTCTCAGATCCGAGAGTAGAAGGAATCGAAACAAAATAGTTAGAAACGGAGAATCGAAGTGGCGAAACCAAGAATAGCATTGAACGACCTTCAAAACTGAATCAAACAAACATTTAGTCAGATAGAATTTGAGCTGAAGCACTTACGGTTTAGGGAGAAGCGGAATCGACGGATTTCTGAGAGACGACGCTGGAGAGAAATCACGAATCGCAGATGAGAAAGAGAGCTTAGAAAATATGAAACCCTATAATTATTTTAGTTAGCCCATGGACTCCCCAAGCCCAGTTATGAATTAGCCCATTGAAAAGCGGATAATAGAACCGAACGAAAATTAAAATTTTGTTATTTTGGTAAACCGATTGTGTTCTATCAAGAACTCGAAAGGAAAAAACCAGTGTTAAATTGTTAGTGTTATTAAATCATCATTGGGTGATCTGCCTACCCCGTGTAAATTATAAAATATTTTATATATTAAATATTTGATTAATATAGTATATTAAAAATATTTTATTTATACGTGATTAATTATGCATTAATAATAATATTATATAAACATTTAATAATAAACAAATAATGATAAATAATAAAAAAATATTATAGATTTCAATTGAAATTAAAGATTAAAAACATTAACCAAGATTTTTAAATATTTCCTTAGATAAAAAGTGTAAATAAGATAACTAAATAAACTGAACACATTAAAATATATAATAATTTATTTAATTTTTATTTTTGATCTGTATGTATGTGCTGATATAATTTTTTATCGACATGATTAATCGTAATATTTAAGTATTAATTAATTTTATTATACATTATGTCAATGTTATAGTTTTATACATATACAGTTTTAATGTTTAACAACAAACACACAAACGTTTCATATCGTTTTGTATCTTTTGAAAACTTTTTATTTTTTTGTTTAGCGTTTACAGTATCATATAATTGCAAATATAGAAGTTATATTAAATAATAATTAAATTATTATAATATATTTTGAATATTATCTATACTATGCTTTTTTTTCTTACACAATATAATCTTGTCAATATATTCCTTTATATGGGATAATTTTCGAAATAACCCATTTGACAATTTTATTATGAAACATGACCTTTCCATTAGAGAGGTCCACTAGTTTGCTTTCAATCTGCTATTAGTGTGTCAGTAATTTGCAATTAGTCACCATTAATCTGCCAGTAGTCTACATTCAATTATTTGACCAATCAATCTGTCAGTAGTCTGCATTCATTCTGCCGTTAGTCTGCCATTAGTCTACAAATGACATTAGTTAGAAGGGTAGCGCTGCTATTTATAAAAATCGTAAAAAGGGTCATTTTCATAATTTTTCCTCAATGGGGTACCCATTTCATATTATTTTATCATTCTCGGTCATTTTATAGCATTTCCTCTATAATTTATTAAGTGGCATCAGTTTTAAAAATTCATATATAAGTGGTACGCATATATAATACTATTACAAAATATATAAAACTCAAAAAGTAAAACTGTAAAACTTAATTTTTCACTGTAGTTAAAATGTGCATGAACTTTTATTTTTTTCTGATCAGAATAAACTTTCTTGTTTCATCGAAGTCAATAAAAAAATAAAACTAGGAATTTTATCAATCATCAGTTCAAATTCATATATAAATTAACATGAGCATTATTTGATTATGTATACACTTAATATAAATAATATGTGATTTAGAGAGATGTTGGAATAAAGAAGAAGAAGATCAATTATTGGTTGATGTGGAGCTAAAAACCCATCACCCAGGAGTGAAGAGAAGTAGCCCCAACCAGATGATGGGAAAGCAAAGAAAAAGGGAAGTGGAGGACGCATATGTAGCACAAATGAGGAAGACACACAATAGAGGGAGGCCTACTAGCTACCATGTGCTCTCCGATCAGATGGGGCGGAGGAAGGGCGAACGCAGCAAGCCACGACCAGCCCGACCTCTGGCCAAAAAGATTTTTCATTAGGGCCCATACCTAGTCCTATGCAGCCCTTGTGAGCTCAAAATCCCAATATTTGGTTCCATGGAGTTCCACTAGTTCTTTCGATTTGCTATATTTACATATCTCAACACAATAACATATAATAACATTCTTCAAAAAAATCAAGCATAAAAAAATATTGATGAAAGCTACGAAGATGTAATTATATGTGTAATTTTTTATTCTTAGATTTTAGATCTGTAAATAAAATAATATAAAAACTTGTCCATCTTCAGATTTTGTCTATCTACCTCGGATAATGTTGGTTTTTTTCAACAATTTATTTTCGTCATCGCTTTCTTATTCTTCTTTTGATTGGTTTGTGTCATCACTTGATCTTGCTGCTGATTCATGACCTCTCTAATATGTATATCACCACTCACCAGAAGACCAAATGAATGAGATTCGGCTATGAAGTTAACACCAGTTGGTACATTACCTGTAGTTATAAGCCTTTCTTAAATATTGTATCATCCCATATATTATTTCTCCAAGGATCGTGAAAAATATCGAATATGCCTTTAGATTCTGTGGATATTGGGGAGTTATAGGTCATGTTGTTGTTGACTATGTTATTTATAAGCTCCTTAAAAGTATCGGTTTCTGAATAGGAATCAATACCCATGAATAGATATTCAAATGATATTTCATCTATGTGAGGGTTGTAAATAGGAAGATTTTGAGTGAAAATTGAATGGATCGTAGTTTTTCTTTGTGAATAGTGGTATCGGATTTTGGTCTGGCATCAATGGTATAGATTTTTGTTTGGGATTGATAGCTTGCATATTTACATCATTTAGGCTTGGATAATCATATGTTTTAAAGTCTCTTTCATGCATAAACTATCATTTTAGGTCTCCTTTGCATTCATATTAGAGAGAGCTTGTGTCTAGGTATGCATTGCACGTTTTGTTGCATTTTGAAGGCGTTATCCAGTTATTTTATCGTCTCAGTTATGTTTTGTAAGAACTGTTCTCAGTTGAGATTTTAACATAATGCAATGTTTGTCCAATATATATATATATATATATATATTCGTTTTTTCGCAGAAGATTCCATCAATCCATAAATTAATTCTATATTTTTGGAATGATAGAGAAGCATTTTTGGCATTTTCTGTTAATTATATATTGCTATTTAGATTTGATGCTTATTGGATAAATTATAACTGTTTTTGACCCACTTATTTTTATTGTTATTTGATCAAAATTTATCCTAATTAATGATGTTATTTGTCATTAGTAATTAAATCAGTTACATTATAAATGCTTTTTTCTTTTATTTTAAAAATAGGTTTTTATATATATATAGTTTTTATCATTTAATATATATATTGTAACACTTTTTTTTTATTTTTGACAAAAATAAAAAAATTCTAAAATTTTACATAATATTCATCCATTTATAGCTTTTGATCTCTTTTTTAGATTTTCGAACTCAGTCAACATATTTTTCTCCATTTCATACTCATATCTATTCTATTTTTTTTTTGTTGCTTTAAGAAAATTATTTATAATCATCGTCTGAATCAAATTGATGTTAAAATAGATTTTTCAATAAATATATTCAATGAAGATTTCATCATAAATAACACTCAACATTCTTTTACTGTTAATGACTTCAGCTATATACATAAATACCTTTTTAATGTTTTCAATGATCTCCTTCACCAAGTATAACTGCTAAGTATCACCAATGTCCAATATCATTGATCCCAAACTAAAACTTCCACCAAATATGACCGGCAACTATTGCCAAAATCCAATACCATTGATACCAAACCAAAATCTGATGCCATTGATCCCATACCAAAATCTGATACTATTGATTCCAGACCAAAATCCGATACCACTATTCGTAAACCAAAACTACGTTCCATTGAATCAAAATTTGGTTACCACTCAATAACTATAGTTTTAGTTTGTGAACAGTGGTATTGGATTTTGGTATGGGATTATTGTATCAGATTTTTGTTTGGGATCAATGGTATCAGATTTTGATAATAGTTGCCATTCATATTTGGTGGACGATTTTTGTCTGGGACCAATGATATTGGACTTTGGTTATAGCTACCGGTCATAATTGGTGGAAGAGGTCATTCATTGACAGAAGATTAACCTAAATTATTGTTGAAAACATTAAAACGATCTTTATGTATATAGCCAAAGTCATTAAAAGTGAAAGAATAGTGAGTGTATTTATGATGAAATCTTCATTGAAGATATTCAATGAGAACTCCATTTCAACACTAGTATGATTTAGATGATGATTATAAATTAGCAAAAACAAAAAAAAGATCTGAGTATGAAATCGAAAAAATATGTTGACTGAGTCCAGAAATCTGGAAAAAGAGATCAAAAGCTACGAAGGGATGAAACATATGTAAAATCTTTAAAAAAAATTTTTTTGTTAAAAATCTAAGAAATTGCGACAATATATGTTAGTTGATAAACTTGTATATATAGAAAAGTATTTCAAAATAAAAGAAAAAAAAATTAAAAGGTAACAAATTTAATCACCCCTGACAAATGTATCTCATTAATTAGGATAAATTTGGTCAAATAACCATAAAAGCATGTGGGTCAAAAATAGTTATAACTTATC